CTCTCTCTCTCTCTCTCTCTCTCTCTCTCTCTCTCTCTGTTTGACTAAGTGTGCGTCTGTGCACGCGATGCACTTTTCTTGGGTCGACTTTGGTAAGCTTATTTGGTAAGATGTAATTTTGGGGTAAAATCCTATTGACAACCCAATGCTAAATAGACTCAATGACCTTAGAAACATGATACATACGATTAAAAACAGTTAATTATTTTTGGTGAAAGGGAAAAATAACAGGCTTCATATTAGCCATGCTCATAAACTGTATGTAGTTTTTCTTAAAATTAGACTCCCGATCACTGTAGGCCATACATTGAAACGAGCATTGAGAGCTTGCAAATATAGAATTACTAGTTCAGGTATGCTTTAAAAAGAAGTAAGTCATCAACACTCACACACACACACAAACACATACATACACACACATTATAATTATTCTATTGTGCTCATTCTCTGGTGACTCTATGTGTTTTCTTTTTTTTAAAGATTTAAATAAATAACATTTCATGCATACTGGCTCATTTAACTTACAGCATTTTTTTTTCAAATACATGATATACTCGTAATCCGACAAAGAACACATACACAAACAGACAATCACTGTGGTTACTCGTTGCCCTTGCTGCTAGAAAACCGAAAAACAGCTCAACTGTTGGCCTACATGTCTTTTTTTCCATATAAACAAAAACAAAACAAAACATAACAAAATACAAAACAGCCCCACACCCAAACCAAACCCCAATTAGCTGTGATCAAAACTGAGCCATTCCCCTCCCTAAATGATATAACGGAAACCCACTGGGGTGAGAGAAGGCTATTGACAGAGACGTTTTTTGTGAGCCCCAATATGTGCCATAGTCTGCGGCGTGTGAACGATGAACCGTTATCTCAGCGGCCTGGTGTGGGGGCCGGGGTGTGATGTCATTACACGCAGGCTGCATCGACCCTCTGACTTGACTCCGTCTCTGGTGGCGAGAATGACAGAAAACCCAGTAACTGACAAAACTAGGCTGCTTTTGGCTCAGATCAGTGTAGTACACGTTCCCGACTTTTCCTCTCTGGCCTTGTACCCAGTGGTAAGCCGTACGGACACTGCTGAATCTGACGAAGGACGGAGAAATCTGTCCATCATAATTATATCTAGTGGAGGGATTAAAGTAAAAAAGTAAAGTTGTTCCCGCATCCGATCCGGAGACAGCTTCCAGGCCTATCCTCTCATCCCACTCGTTCCCTACTCCTATATTCCAGTCAGCATTCTGAGATGTTTAGCTATAACTTTTTTGATGTTTAGTTTACTCTCA